TTTGTGTTATTAATAACGTGTAAAACGCCGTAAGGAATGGACATCTATTGGAGGGACCAAATGGTGTGTCCGACTGAAGACCAATACCTGGATATGATTGTGAAGAAAACGGGCGGACCTTTCATTTTGGCCGTAAAACTGATGCAATTGTTTAGTAGTAATAAAACAGATTTTCAGCCACTTTTGAAAATATTGAGCCATTATTTCCAGATTAGAGACGATTACGCAAATCTCATGTCTGTTGAGGTTTGTTGTCTACTATAACTTAAAATACAATTTAATCTTTTTATAGGAAACAAATAATTTATTAAATATAAGTTACACTTACGTAAAGATATTTTAATTTATACATTATTAAACTTTTTATTTTTATAGTTTTAATATAGTTTTAGTATTAGTTTACTTTCATGCAATTAATTTTTTTTACATTGATAATGTATTAAATTATATTTGTCCACACATTTAGTACAATGAAAAGAAAGGCTTTTGCGAAGACATTACTGAAGGAAAGTTTTCATTTCCTATAATACATGCAATGAATAACTCCATAAATGACACAACAATTATAGGTAAGTGTGTGATTGGGTTAAAACAATAAGTTAGAAAAACATGGTAAATGTTTTTTGGGTAATATTTGTTAGATATACTACGGCTGCGAACCAGAGATAACGGGCTGAAAAAAATGGTTATAAAGAAGTTGCAAAGTTTGGGTTCACTCGAGTATACATTGGAGCGCATAATAATGTTGGACAGTATGGCCAGGAATGAGATCAATGTGTTGGGCCATAACCCAGTGATGATGGCCCTCTTAGATTATCTCCGAAACATTTAATTATAATTTACTCACATTGAATTATTTTTACTATATATTATTTGCATAAAATTGTAAGATTATATAATTATATAAAATATTATTTATAATTTGACAATTTTTAATGTTGATATATAATAGTAAAAAATATTGTTTATAAATTTATAAAATTCCAAAATTAATAATTATATTGGTCAAAAATCAATTATTTATATTATAAGTTTTAACCAATATTGATTTTATTTAGAAAAATTATAATTTATAAAATGTTCAAAAAAGTTTTAAACTTATAATAAACTTTATATAAATTTTGTTTTATAATTTTAATAATATTATTCATTAATTTTATTCGTGACTGTTATTTTAAATTTAATTATGTTATCAGAATAAGAATTGTCTCATTAAATTTAAAATAACTTATAATATTGATTTGATTTCATAAGTATGCTTTTTAAAATTTTATCGATTGTTTTATAAATAAATTGTATTTTCATTTAATTTATATTACATTACATTTCATTATTATACTGCAACCGATAAACATCATGAGTAAAAAAGTAAACATTAAAAATATTTTCAATTTAAAAGAGTTTAAACAAAATAATTCTATAAATGAACCCGCAATTAAAGGGATTAAGGTATTTCATAATTATTTTCGTGCTCATTATTTATGTCTAGCCAACAGCTCCCGGGAGTATATACTAGGCATATATCCCCGTAAGCGGGCGATTATAGCCTGGACACAATGTTTTGCCGTTTGGTTTAACGTTATTAAACTGGTATTGTTTGTATGCATTGACGACCAATGGGTGGATGTAATGTTTCAGAATCCATGTATATTATTTGAATATGGCTATTTATTGGAGATCTTATTTTTGCAACTAGTTGCTGTTATTGGATCTATAGGTATAAACTATACAAAAATTGTTAATATATTTTTATTTTGTTAAATTAATGCAAGAATTCTGTAACAGGATTATAATAATTTCATTTTATTGAAGGTACATTTATGTTAATTATGTCGTCCACGCGTAACGCTCAGTACGTTTATATATTTTATAAGTTAGAAAAACCATCGAGATTAGAACTGAATTGTAAAAACGTCGAGTTGTTTACCAAGAAAAGCTTGCACATGGCTTATCTAGTTAAATGGGGTGTAAATTTATTGATCTATATATTTTATATATTCTACACCATATTGATGTTTAAAATGAATTCAATTAATTCGCAATCACTAGTATCGACAGGAATAAATTGGGTGTTGGGTATGATTGCAGCAAGGACACTCCAGGGCTTACTGGTTACCACGATGTACTTTGTGTATGTCATATCGGTATACTTGCGTTTGCGTTTCAAGCAAATCTATCATAATTATGCAGGTAAAGGTAAAGGTAATTATGCTTTATCTTTTTAACAATAACTTAACTTGGTACTTTCATAAATAAAATTTTATTGAATTTTTTTTAAAATTATTGTAACATTAATATAAAAATTATTTTAAATAGTGTCCCAGCGTAATTTATTAAATAAATTACAACAGCATAATGAAGCGACCTTGCTCACCGAGCGAATAAATTCATGGCTTCGGTACATATTATTAGCCTATTATTACATTAGTATTCCGGGCATTGATTTTGCGCTAATATTTATCATGAGGGAACCAAATATCATTTATCGTTTTATCGCCATGTTTATCACAATAGTGTTCACGGTCAATTTAATATTTATAAATTACCTTCTCTCATCGATTAGTACAGAAGCTCACCGTTCGTATGCCGTACTTCATAAGGCTATGGCCAGTCATCCGTTGCCATTGTATGTAAGATATAAGACTATGGTATATATTGAGCGCCTGTCCGGACCAGTAATTGGTATCTATTGCTGGAATCTGTTTCCGTTTACTAATTATGAGCTCTATCTCTATATGTCTAATTGTGTTTCGCAATTGCTCTTGTTAATTTCTATGAATTAATATGTTAAAGTATTAAAACATTGTTTTTAATGTAAATTTTATTACTTTTAAATTATTGTTCAATTTGTAAAATTGTCAAATACTGTATGTGTATTTAAATATAATATAAAGTAAGAGACGTGCGAAAATTGAAGGGTACTAAACAATATTGACGTGGTTTCTGATTCACCTTGTTAATTTGCTAACATTATATATGATTAAGCCATGAATAAGGTATAAATTACAAAGCATATTAAAATACTGTGTACGCCTAGATGTACGCACACAATCTTACTAATATAAAGTTATTTAGAAAATTTCTTAAAGTAGAAACTTTATTCATAAATGAAATTAATCTATCACAAACTATTAAATAAAATGTTGTAAATTAACCAATGGGTATTACATACCAAATATTTACATATTAGGTACTTGTCTATTACATTATAATTACTTCCCTGTTTCTGTTACAGTTTTGAATTCTTAAAATTAACTCTAGTTCAAAGTTTTGTCCATTAAAAACATGGTCCATTTAGTGTATGCCCTATATGAAATCGGATCAAAATAAAAACAAAATTATATTAATTTGCTGTGTATAACTTTATTTCAAAATTTATAACCAAAACCAACATGGTTAAAATATATAAACTTAAAATTAAGTAACGATTATATAAGCTTTATAAAATTAAATAAATGATAATTTATATAATTTTTTGAAAAAATATAAGATAACCGTTAATTCTTGAAATTACTTATATTAAAAATGATAATTAATTAATATACATAATCTGTGTTATTTATTTTTTAAGTCATATTGGTTAATTATATTTATTCACTATTATGAATAGTATTTACAAAATTATTTATTACAAAAATTAATTGTTTCCAACCCAAATTTTCTTAAATAAATTAAAAAATATTTTGCTAAAAATACTATTATCAGGCAACTATAGATACTTTATGTTTATTCTTTTTAAAAATATTTTACACTTTGTTTTTGCTATATAGTAAGTTTATTTGGCTAAATAATAAAGCAACATTGTCAAACTTATTAAAAAATAAATATGTTTTATCTTTGTGTAAATATTTAATCTAACATAAAGTAAATTAAACAAAATAAAATTGAATTTTAAATTTATAAAGCAATAAGATACTATAACAAATTTTTATAAATCTCTCACATTAATAAAATCAAATTAATTTAAATTAATGTTTTCAAAGAATAAGTACTGATACTTTAGGTAATAAATAATTATTTAATGTACTGTTAATTATAAGTTACATATTTGTTAATAATTTTTTGCCAAACTGTAAACAAAGTTAGAAATAATATTTTATATAAGATAAAATCAGGCACAATTAGCATTATTGGGTCCCTCAGGGTTGATGTATATTTATCATGGATTTAATCGATTACTAATTATAATTAATTTTTGTTTTAATTTTGTAATTTTCTATAATTTTATAATTATGGTTATAAATCTTTTAAACGTTTAAGTTATTATTAATTTATTCTCATAGTATAACAACTAATCTGTTTACTGTAATAAATAAGATTTTACTATAAATTAATTGACGCACACTATTATGCAAAATATTCAAACTTTTAAATGACTAGCAAATTAACAATGTTGATTTTATTGATAAACTGTAAACTAATTGATAAATAATATTTTGTATAATATTATTCAATTTGGATTTAAAATAATTGGTGAATGTAATCAAACGAATTATATTTTAATAAAATTAATAAAAATAGATACTACATCACATTATATAAATCTATGACACTAATAAAATTAAATTTATTTAATATAATGTTTTTTAATAATAAATATTAGTAGAAATTTTGTTAATAAATAATTGTAATAATATAAATAATTGTTTTATTAATTATGAATTTCATATTTGTTAATATTTTTATTGACAGACTGTAAACTAAGCGATAAATATTATTTTATATAATATTTTTAAATTTTAATTTAAATAAATTAGATTACAATCCAAATCAAATCAAATTTTATAAATCTTTAATAAAACTAAATGTAAACTTTATCTATATAAATGTTGTTGAAAAATTAATACTAATAAAATGCAGATAATACAATAATAAAATATAATAAAATGTATATAATTATAGACCTGTATATATCGTAGAAGTCAGTTTGAATATAGATTTGTTTGTCATAGTCTTAACGCCGTTATGTATATTTACGAAGCGTTAATACAACTCTATTATATAACAACACATATAATGATCGGTCGTTTTGACAATTGTTTGAATTAACTATTTTACTCGACAGACTGTAAACTAATTGCAAAAAATTATTTTATTTAAGTCAATAATTTGGTTTAATATTACATTGGATATCGATCAGAATTAAATTATTAATTATTTTAATTTAGATAAAAAATGATGTTAAATTTATTATAAATTTATAAAATAATATAATTTAATAAATTAATATAAAATATTGTTTAATTAAATTAAAAATTTTCACAATCAAACATATTAATTATTTTTCAACTAAAAGTTTGGGCAAATAATTATATTAAAGAAGTTGTCTTAAGTTTAACAAAATTTATTTAATAACAATTTATTGTAAAATGTAAGAATTAAATGTAGCATAATAAAATGAAAAATAACGTTCTAATATTTTTGTTGTATTATAAAATAATAACAAGTCATAGCCATCCATTAAATATATAGCTATAATTTTTGTGTACAATAATAAATGTACACAATATATTGATTAATATAACATTTAATTCATGAATTATATTAAAATGTAATTAAAATAACGCCTTTTTACTACACATAATATTAGACATTTCTTTCCCAGGTCAAATATATTTTTACGTGAAAACAGTTTTATCTATCTTAAAACTCATACAGTATGTTCATATAATACATGTTTAATTAAAAATTGTTAGTTTAAATGTAACACAAAATTTAGTTAGTATAATTAATAGAATGCTATATTATTAATATACTGATTGCCAATTATAATATTAATTTATGATTAAGTACATTAAAAATGTTTTTTGAATTTTAATTACAGTATAATTTACACATATCATCTATGATAAAATAGATATATAATAAAGGTACATTATAAAACAATTTGTAAATCTAATATACAGTTAATTAAAATAATGTTAAAATGCATGTAGTACATTAATTTTGGTTGTAATCTGACTAATTTATATCAATATTGCAATATTAATTATTTCCATGGTAATTTTACTAATAAATAAATATAAAATATAAAGTATTATATTGTGTTTAAATACATACAAACACATCTATTGCAAAAAATAAATTGTTTTATATAGTAGATTTATATAAAAGTTGTTGTATAGTTTCAAAGAAATGTATTTTATATTGTTTTCAGTATTTGTTTAAAAAAACTATTCATGTGCAAACATTTAATACTTTTTAAAATGAATTTCATTATAATTTAGATCATCTAAATCATTTTTGACTACAATTATTTGTAGTTTATTCTAAAGTAATTAACAATACCAATAAAATCATTTTAAAAATGTAAACTCTCTTTCTATAATTATCCAATCGTAAAAAATTAATTTTGTTATAATTAATTATTCATTTTAGTAATATTTATTTACAGTTGGAAATAAATTCGACCGATTGCTAATAAAGTACCACAACTTAATAACATGGTCATATTTAATTGTATTTATATCAGATAAATTAGAAATGTGGTATAATGGTAGATTATAGATCATAAAATATTATAGGGTAAAATACTAGTGGAGACAACTGACTAATGAAAGCTTACGACTGATCCAATATAAATGATTTAAGTAAAATTATTGTAGATATTTTGCTATTATGTGAAAATGTTGCAGTTTTTATATAACTGTTTATTTGTTGATTAAATTAATATAAATAATTGTCACTAATCAACAGTCAGTCTAGTAACTAGACTTTAATTATTCTTTCCGTTTAAACGCATCAAACATTTGCCCATGTTATAGTATAGCCATAAAAATTAACATTGAATATCAAGTTAAATCCCATAAGGTGGGAGAAGTGGGAGGGGGTAGCCCCAAGATCTTATAAACAACATTCTTCATAAATAAATTATGGTTAAAAATTACGTAAGCGCGTTTCGTTGCCATTCAATATATTGCTATTATTTTTTAAATTAATTATCACATTATTTATGAAATTTATTACTGTTTCTAATTATATACAAAATATAAGATGAATACATTGTATATTGATTAATAAAATACTTCATTCATTCACTATATTAAGATGTAATTAAAATAACACCTTTTTTACTGCACATAAAGTTAGCCACTTCATTCCCCAAATATTAGCAATCTCATTAAATTAATAATAATAATTAATGATTGAATAAAGTTAGAATATTATAATGAAATTTTAATCATATTGTTAAATAAACATGGTTAATTATTATAATTATTTTTTCAAATAATTTGCTTGTAAGCATTTAATGCAATTAAAATTTACTTTTAGAATTCTTTATTATGTTGATAATTAATTTTATTAGTATCCTGAGCTATTGTAGCTTTTTAGGAAATCAATATTAATAGATTATAAATTAAATATTGCCATTAATTGATTGTAAACTAAATGTTAACATAATTAGTATAAACTGTACAAAAATATATTGTATAGAAAATATACAAACGATAAACTATTAATACTTTTTGATTGGAAGAAGCAGGAAAATACGATTGTAATTTTTGATTCACTATGAAATTTTATATGAATAATTATATATTTATTTATACAATAAGCAAACTTGTAAATAAAAACATTAATATTATATTTAATTTTTTTTCAAATTATAACCGAAAATAAAATGTAATGCATCAAAAATAAATTTATTATTAATAGGGTTAGTAAAATTAACAAATTAATAGCTATGAATAATGGACTCAATCCAGGACACGTAAGCGGACACTTTGGTAAAAGCGCTGGGACTGAGGGCAGCGCCACAGTTGTCACCACTAAACGAGGTGACACCATAAGCCACCCAAACACCATTGCGAAGGGGGCAGTTTAGGGGTCCACCGCTGTCACCTTGGCAAATATCTTTGCCGCCCTCCGGATAGCCGGTGCAAAAATTTGTACCCGGATGTGAACCGTTAGGATACGCGCGACCACAGATCTCGTCAGGTATTAGAGGTAGAGCTACTTCCCGTAAATCGGGTGATATATCACCGCCGGTTACCGTACGGCCCCATCCGGTGGCCACACATTTACTGGTGTCCGGGTTCAGGCCCGGCAGCGGTAGGCATACGGGCTCCAGAAAATTTTGATAACCATCCAGGTCTAATGGCTTGTTTAATCTGATCAAGGCGATATCGTTTTCCATTGTAGTATGGTTGTATTTCTCGTGTACTTTATACTAAAATTGGTTACAAATACACATGATTAAATTGTGAAATTTAGACAATGCAATGTGGTTACTCTATACTTACGTCAGCGCCATAACGGGTCACTTTTGTCCACTCGTAGACCCGGGTGTCGGTGACGCCCAAAGTGAGATCAATTTCGGACACCTTATAGCCCGCATCCAATTCAAAACAGTGGGCGGCAGTCATTACCCACCGGTCGCTGATTAGCGAACCCCCGCACGACTCGGTTCTCCACGCGGGTTGACTACTATTATGTGTGGTCGAGTTGACCAGCACTTTGACCATCCAGGGCCACGACAACGGCTGGGCAGCCTCACCACCAATGATACGGTTACCGGTGCCCGAAAGGCCGCACCGCAACAAATACAGGCCGTCAGTGCATAGCGATAGGCATGCGATTAATGCCGGGATTAAAAGCATACGAATTGCCGGTGTATTGATTACCATTGTATAGCAATGTCTGTTGCAGTCAATAATTTTGTTTTAAAATGTTTTAAAACAAGATAATTGTTTGTGTGATTGTGGTTGAATTTAACCATGCTTATATACTATGGAACAGCCCTTGAGATTATGGGACATTTGACAGGATTAATTTTGTAATTATGTTAGTACCAATAATTAATTACTAACCTTACAAATGTGGTCACAATTAATTATAAATTAAGTGCATTGTAACCTGTAATGTTAAATAATAGAAAATTATTTATGATAAGTAAATAAAAAAAATAATTATTGGGATATTAAAAGACAAAAATTTTTGTCCAATTAATAATAAAATAGTAAATCAAAATCATCTTATTAATATTTAAAATATTATATTTGTAATTGTAAGTTTATATATAATTAAATTAATTCATATTATATAAAGTACAATATTTTTATATAAAATGTGGCACGTTTGATTTATTTAAATAACATCTAATAAATGTTACTAATTTAAAGCAAAAAATTTTATCAAAACAAATATATTAATTATCTAGAGTATTAATTAAAATTCCACCTGTTTGACAATGTGTGACGTCGAGTAATTATTTATTTAGCTGAAATTGTAGTACAAAATAATTGTATGGTTTTGTGAATGAATTTTAAAGTTTTTATTTATATACTCTCGTGTCATAACTGTAGTTAACAGGTTCATTTTGGGGTCAGTTAGTAATTAATTTAATTATAAAGCTCATCAATATTAATTACAAAATCTTGCATTTTATTCAGTTCTACTTAATTGCATTTAATTAAAAATTACACCTTCATAATAATTAACAAGAATTTTTACTTTCAATATTTACATCTTATTTATTTCAATAGTAAAGTCATCATAAATACTACTATTGAAATAAACACCTCATTGGTTCATTGTAATTGTTTAACTACTATTAAGTTAATTTAACACTATATTATCATTTGGTTACATAACATGACACAATAATTGTCAATAAATTAGTATTTAAGTGCAATTAAACTCTTGATTGATTATTTAATCAGTTCAAACATGTTCATATCCGTACTAACATCTGTTGATAAACAAAAAATCATTTTAATTAATTAGTAACTAGTCAAAATAACTAAATATCTGATTTGTAAGTTTATAACTACCCATTAAGTACACTTGTTACTTTTTAATTTGTCAAACACAATTAAAAAAATTTAATAAAATTGTTTTTTAAAACAAATGATTAAATTTTATTGAGCACTTGTTAAATAGACAAAAATATATTAATTCAAATTATTTACACACAATTATATAATTTAAATAATTAAAACAAATTAATTCTTTAATTCTTAAAATAACTTATTAAAAAATAATTATTTTACTCTCATAAGTCAGCATAAAATACCATGTACATAATTCATACTTACAAGTTAGATGTAATTAATTTATAATTAAATTTAAATAATAATATGCGTTCATTTTCTCATACAATTAATGTCAAGAATAAATTGAAGTTATTATAATGTAGCATAAACTAACATCCATTATGAACCTAATTTAATTTAAATAATAAATGTAACCTTGTTCATGAAATATATTTATTATATAAGTTTTAAAATTATCATGATATAAAACAGAATTTTTAAAATCTATTTATTATATAAATCGTTTTATAAACAACAATAAATTAAGCATTAAATAAAAATGTTATAATTAAATATTTTAATTTATTTTCAAAAAATGAATTATACGTTAATCAATTAACCCGTTTATTTTATTTTTTATACAAATACATTAATTAGTTGACGTGTTTGTTTTAGTTTACAGTTCATAGTACCGTATTACGCCGCATATAGGTGCATGCACTTATATCTGAGTTTTCACACAAGGGGCGCACCTATATCCGGATATAGGTGCGGTAGTTTTTAAGACATTTTTTACATTTTTGTTGAAATATACATAAACACTAAAAAAACTATATAATTTGTAATTAGACTTTTAACACTAAAACGCGTCTAAATGTTTGAAATATATGTATATTTTTTCAAAATTTGTTGAGTTTTATAAAGGTTGAGTACATTGGTGTAAAATGTCTCAAGCAATGGACATGTCTTCAAGTGATACATAAATTTTAATAATCAAATTAATCAGATATATGAAATATTTATATATATGCTTTAATTATAAATGAATGTATAATTTACTTATTAACGATTTATAAATTTATAAATAATTATGACAAACAAACTTTGGTGCAGCTATATGTGATTTTTACACAAGGGGT